AGGCACATATCACCGTGCTGAGCTAATTCTCAAAAATTATTGTTATTTGTAGAAACAGGGTCTCGCTATGTTGCCCAGGCTGGTCTCACACTCCTAGCCTCAAGCAGTCCTCCTGCCTCACTTTCCCAAAGTGCTGGGATTATAGGTATGAGCCACTGTGCCTGGCCATGGGTGTCCTGTATTTTTATTTGCAAATCTGGAAACCCTGTGAGTAGCAGTTTGTGCAAGAGTGGTGAAGGACATTACAGACTGAGAAAACAGCATGTGTGCACAGCGTGTGCCCAGGATGAGAGGCAAGCGGGAAGCTGTTGGGTGAGAAAGTGCAAGGACTTCTGGAGATTGTAAATGAGGCTGGTAGGGGGTGCTGGGGAGTTGAAGCTGGAGGGGTCGGGGAGGGGGTCAGGGCGGGGTCTTGATATTATCCTGGAGCTTGGGCTTTTTCCCGTAGACAAAGAGTGTGTGAGAATTTTAATCAGAGAAATAGTCCATTTGATGTGTTTTGGTTTCTGTTTAAAAAGTCATCTTCAAATATGCCTTTTATTTTCAGATCTCTTCTTTCTAGGAGGTGGTATACAAATCTTCATTTATTTACATATAAATTATATTTATAATATATAAATATATACAATATTAATTATAAATTAATTAGCGTAGTAACAAATGAACACAGATTGTCAAGCCCCGTTTGACAGAGCCTCACTGGAGAGTGCGCAGGTGTGACTGTCTGAGCAGAAGGCCAGGGACGGTGACCTTGGTCTCCTGGTTTGGGGCTCGGCTGAGGGGGTCTTCCTGGCTGCTTACAATAGGAACTGCTCCTAGGATGGCCTAGTGAGTAGAAATTTAGGGAGCAAAGTTTCCCTACAAGGAAGGAAGAACATTCTAGTGGATTGTCTGAACTTGGTCACTATGTCCCAAACAAGTAAAAGTGATGCTCCATTATCGTCTGTCAAGAATGATGTAGAGGGTCAGGTATGACGGCTCGTGCCTGTCATCCCAGCAGTGTGGGAGGCCGGGAGGATTGCTAGAGGCTGGGAGTTCAAAACCAGCCTGGATAACATAGCAAAACCCCATCACTACAAAAAAACAGAACAAAACAAAACAACAACAACAAAATTAGCTGGGTGTGGTGACCTGTGTCTGGAGTCCCAGCTACTTGGGAAGCTGAGGCGGGAGGATCGCCTAAGCCCAGGAGGTCAAGGCTGCAGTGAGCCAAGGTCATGCCACTGCACTCCAGCTTGGGCAACAGAGTGAGATCCTATCTTAAAAAAAAAAAAAAAAAAAAAAAAAGATGCAGAGGGAGGGGTGCTTACTCTAGGAAGAGTTGGGGCTGGAATTTGCCTTTAACTCCACATTTTTAAGATGCTTCCCAGACATTCTCAGAGTTAATAGTTAGCAGTTCAGGCCAGTTCTTGAAAGAGGTAGGAGGGCTCAGGATTTTACATCCACAGAGGCAGAACGCAGAAGAAACTTGTCCAAGTAAGAGCATGACCAGGTTTCATGGCATCTTACATCGAATACCACTTTGGCCCTTCAAACTTGTCTGAAAGCCTAAGGATGTGCCTCAAGTGACCCTACTTGCTGAGAGTTCACATTTACGAGCTAGCAGGGCAGCAGGGCAGGCATTAATAGCGCCATTTCACAGATGGGAACACTGAGGCAGAGAGAGAGGAAGTGCGATTCCCATGAGTCACCCAGCCTGTTAGGAGTGGAGTTGAGGCTGTAGCCTGTGTCCTCTGACTGTGGGTCAGCATGCTTTCCTTGGCATTGCCGTTGACCCATGGCTACATGGCTTCAGGGGGGAGGTGCCTCTCCAGTGCTGCTGGCTGAGGGAGAGCAAGCTCGGTGTATCTTTGGAGAGGATCGCAGACATCACTGATGATATGATAGCGGAACAGAATGGGAGCTATGGATGGGAAGATTCCCTTCCCAGTTTTTTCCAGGAGAGGCCAGGAAAAAGCTCTGCGTTTGGGAAGAGGCCACCGGAGAGGCAACTGGGGCTGGCAGTGGGGGGTGCTCTGTGACCTTCTGTGAAGGCTGAAGAACGAAAAATGAGGCTGAAGAACTGAAAATGCCTCCTCAGGCTGGTGTTTTGAAGTAACAGAGGACGTACTTCCAGGCTTCAAGCATGGGCATTTTGGCAGTGTGGGAAAATCAGAACTTTTGGGAAATGAGAAACATAAGTTAAAGCTGCATTTTGCCTGTGTTTATTTAAGCCATTCTGGAAGGATGGGGGTTGTGTCTCCTGGTCCACAGTTCTCATACTCAGGTACTCTCAAATCTGGGAGCTCTGTCATGTCAATTGCATGTTTAAAGAGCTTTTGTTCTAGAACCTTCTGTACACACAGGAGGGCATGTACACACAAACACACACACTTGCCATTAGGAAAAGGGGTACTGGATTTTGAAGTGGAAAGACTGGACAATAAGGAAAAGGACAGAAGTACTGTATGTCCCTCTGCAATACAAAGTCTTCAGGCTGATCTCCCTGGCGCTGCTATGCAGCATGTGAATTGCCGGGGAGGGTGGCGGGGGGGCGGTCCCTCTCCCTCGTCCCAGGAATGGATTAAAGTCTCTTGATGGGGCGGAGGTCTGGGGTCCTTCCTTTCCAGCTGGATCTGGTAGGAATCAGGAGTGCGCTGGATTTAGCATTCTGGGGTCTTCTCCCATCACTCCCTGTTTGACCAAGAGACAACTGTGTTCCCAGCAGGGGTCGGTAAAGGAGTAGGGCCGCTAGTGGTCGGTGGGGGAGGTGGCGACTGGAGGTGATCAAAGTCTAGGCAGAGTGACCACACATAGGTAAGCTCTTCCTCTGCATGGATTTGTGAGACTTACTCCTGACTTGGGACTTCCAGGGCTGGGGAGGGGCAGTCACCTGGATGAATTTCCAGCATTTAACAGCAGTCAGACACAAGTCCTCCTGCCATTTGGGAAAACCCAAGACGTGAGTGAGCGGTCAGCTACGCCTGGGTTCAGAGGTGAGAGGATGTCAGCTGCAAACACCCGTCTTTGCAGTGAGCAAACAGACACATTTGGCTTGAGGCAGAGAGCCTGGCCCTAGGAGAGAAAAAGACCCCCTGCCAAACAGCATTTTTCTCTAAATGCCCCTTGAATTGAGACACAGTCGCCGGGTCTCCTGCGGTCTGTTCTCTGTGAGGAATGTCTTCCTCAGCTCCACAGGCCAGCCTCACCAATTGTCTCGGGATTAACCCTTGGCCATCCAAATATTGCTCTCTTCTCTGTGTCTTCCTCCCAGCCCCCACGTCATCTCTTGGGTGTCGAGGCATCTTCCACTGGCCACGAAATGACAGAGAAGTCATCCATCTGCTGAAGCCTCTGTGTGCACCGTGGAATCACGGTGTCTGTACCGGCACGACTGCTTTAAGAGAACAGCCCCGCTTCTTCACAAACTCTAGTCATTTCACTTGGAATCTGTCCATCAAGAAATTAGGTCTGCAGAGTCCAAAGCAAGCTCCCTAGAGCTCTGCAAACAAGCTGGCCGGCAAGGCAGCGCCTCCTACGGTGTCTGTGTGGAGTGCTAAGACCTGTGGCCCCTTTGCCTCACGGGGTGTGTGCTCAGATACGGCTTTGAGCACGTCAGCCTCCCTCCACCTGCACTGAGCGACAGAAGGTGTGGAGACTCCGGAACTTCATGAACTGTTTGCTGTGCTCCCCTGTCCCGGGGTAGTCCGGGTCTCACTCCCAGCTCTCCCGAGCTTAATCCTCTTCCCTCTCCGGGGAATGCTTGAAACTTAAAAAGAATTCTCAGGAATTCGAGGTGGAGGGTGGCAGAGAGACTTCTGTTCCTGGGGGCCGAGGAACCGTCCTCTTGGGCGTCTGCCCTAGTGGGGACCCTTGGTTTTGACTTGTCGTTCCTGGACTGCGTCTGACCTTAACATGTGTGCCCGAGTGGTGGACTTGATATTTACACCAGCCACGCTGATAACTGCACATGTGTTTTTAATGTTTTGGCTTTCCACACCACAAACACACAGATGGGCTGTCGGCTGGGCTGGGACTTGAGTAGGGTTTTTCTACTAAAAAAAAAAAAAAAAAAAAAAAAAAAAAAAAAATCTATAAATGTTTAAAAAGTGCCCTCCCGGAGCTAACACCGTTGCGAGCAGTACTTCTCGCCACACAGGGCAAAGTCCACCCACTGCCCCAGCGCGGAGGGCCACCGCGGGAGGCCCCACCTGGAGAGGTGCTGCTCACTGCAAACTGCTCCAACTGCGCCTTCGCCTCGCCTTCAAGGGAGCCCGGCCAGGCCCGCTGGGGATTTACAAGCAGACCTCCCTCGCTCTAGCCTTCCTGACCCCCAGTTAGCTGGGAAACGACCTGTCTGCATTGCAGCTAGAGAACCGAGGAGAGGAGCCGCTAGTCTAGCGGGCTGTTGGTTGAAATTAGGAAACCGTGTGGGAAAAAAAAAAAAAAAAAAAAGTTTGGGAGGCGGAGGCGGGCGGATCACCTGAGGTCAGGAGTTCGAGAGCAGCCTGGCTAACATGGTAAAACCCCGTTTACTAAATACACGAAAAATTAGTCGGGCATGGTGGCGCGCACTTTTAGTCCCAGCTACTCGGGAGGCTGAGGCAGGAGAATGGCTTGAGTCCGGGAAGCGGAGGTTGCAGTGAGCCGAGATCGCGCCCCTGCACTCCAGCATGGGCAACGGGAGCTAAACTCCAACTCAAAAAAAAAAAAAAAAAAAAAAAAAAGCCTTCATGATTTCGTGGGTTTACAAGTAGGATCCAGGCTCCTCGCTTCTCTGCAAGTCGATGAGAGTTAATTACACCGGCCACCTGGTCTCTCTCCACCCCACGCCGCGATCCATTCCCCCTCTTTTTTTCCCTCTTGCCTCTTTCCTCCTCCCCCTTTATTTATGTATTTTTGGTTTTGTTTTTTAAGGGGTGTTGAGCAGCGTCTGGTTCTAGTAAACCGAACCCGCTCGCGAGGGAGGCGATTGGCTCCCTCGCCGGTGACGGACGTGGTAACGAGTGCGGCTTGCCCCGCCGGGAGCTGATTGGCTGCGCGGGGCGGCTCCGAGGGCTCGGCCGCAGGAGCCCCGCGCACTCCAGCCCTGCAGCCTCAGGAGTCGGTGCCGCGCGCCCGCTGCCCCGCGCCCTCCTGCCCACCGCGTCTCTCGGAGCCCGGGCGCACCCTGCCCACCGCGCCTCCTCCCCGCCCGCGCCGCCTCCCGCCGCGTCGCCTCCTGCCGCAGGCCGAGGGCCGCCACCGGCCGGGGGACCCAGCAGCAGCGCGAGGCCGCGGAGCCGGGCAGCACTGGGGACGGCGCCTTTTGTCCCCGGAGGTCCCTGGAAGTTTGCGGCGGGACGCGCGCAGGGAGGCGGCGGAGGCAGCCCCGACGTCGCGGGGGCCAGGGCGCAAAGCAGGCATGGGCAGCGGGCGCAGCGCAGGGGGCAGCCGCGGGGCCGCCCTGGGCGTGCTGCTGGCGCTGGGCGCCGCACTCCTGGCTGCGGGCTCGGCCAGCGAGTACGACTACGTGAGCTTCCAGTCGGACATCGGCCCGTACCAGAGCGGGCGCTTCTACACCAAGCCGCCGCAGTGCGTGGACATCCCCGCGGACCTGCGGCTGTGCCACAACGTGGGCTATAAGAAGATGGTGCTGCCCAACCTGCTGGAGCACGAGACCATGGCGGAGGTGAAGCAGCAGGCCAGCAGCTGGGTGCCCCTGCTTAACAAGAATTGCCACGCCGGCACCCAGGTCTTCCTCTGCTCTCTCTTCGCCCCCGTCTGCCTGGACCGGCCCATCTACCCGTGCCGCTGGCTCTGCGAGGCCGTGCGTGACTCGTGCGAGCCGGTGATGCAGTTCTTCGGCTTCCACTGGCCCGAGATGCTCAAGTGTGACAAGTTCCCTGAGGGGGACGTCTGCATCGCCATGACCCCGCCCAATGCCACCGAAGCCTCCAAGCCCCAAGGTAAGGCCCCCCTCCGAGGCGCGCGAGCCCCTCCACCCGCTCCCCTGCCAGGGATTCGGGAGAGCCCGCTCCACCCCACACCCGCCTGCTGGGTCCCGACGTTGAGGACTGGCGGCCCGAGGTTGCCCGCATGCTGTACACGTGATTCCTAAGCGCGTCTGGTCTGTCCCAGGTATCGCTCAGCGCCGCTCGCGACCCAGGTGCACGGCGGGGCTGGCCCGGGAGCGGCAGCTCTGCGCCGCGACCTCGCAGGGACTGGCTGTGGTCCCCGGCGCCGCTCTTCCTGGGGTCCAGCTTCGCCTTTCCTATACCTGAAACAAAGACTTGCGTTTTAAATAACAGGGGAGCTCCCCTCTCCTCTGGGAGGATTCCGAGTCCCTATCGAAGTTTTTACCTCCGAGACGGGAGAAAAAAAACCAAAACCCCAAACGTAGAAAGTTCAGAAAGGCCGAGAGAATGCTTGACGCAGCTTTATTTCCATAGGTTCGACAGAGATTTTGAAAAATAAAACCAAGCCCTTTCCTACACTGGTCATTCAGTCGAGTAGCCTCGAGATTGCCGCAGAACTGGCTGAGAAAGTTTAGGAACCCTGGGGACCTGTGCTTCCCCACCCCTTCCAGGTACCAGCTCTGCCCTCGAAGGGCTGGGGGTGGAAAGTCTCTTCTCCCTCCCTTTCGCATACCCCCTGCTTCTCTCATTTACACAAATCCTCAGCTCATTAGAAAGATAAAAATGTAATTAGCTCATTGTTCATCTCCTCCCTGGGAGAACGGATCTGCAAATTGGAGACTTTCCTAACCGCCTGGGGGACCGGCCCGAGGATCCTCTCAGAACCCCCTAATAGTCAAAGGGCAATTCTGGAGGGGGGAAGAAAATAGCCTGGGGAGTCAAATAAAATAAAATAAAAAATATAAAATATAGACAACACAGAGAAACTCCAGCCCTGTGGCCTGACTTCGATAGAAGTAAATTCAACCCAGAATTCTTTAGAAGGAAGTTTAGGCTCCGCGGTGTGGAGAGGGTCAGGGATCGGGGAGCTGCACTCCACACAGGCGCAGGCTTCCTGAGGGCTTTTGGAGGAGGGCCTTTAGGGCGAGAGAGGACGGCTGCGTGCGCTTAGCTCACCTTAAAGTGTCTTTAACCTCTGTTGTTGATGCCAAAAGAAGGCCATGCAGTCACCTGGCTCTTCAGAGTGAGGATTCCAGTAGGTTGGGGAAAGGGACACCCCAAATCTTGGATACTTTTGCTTATTCTAGCGAGGGAGGAGATGGGTCCACAGTGACTGACGTTGGATGGCTGGGTGGGAACGGCAGTGATTGCCCGCACTGGCCAGGTCTGGTACCGCTGCTCTCAGGGTCAAGTCTGGTGGTGGAAGTGGAATGAGGGGTAGCAGATGCATCTGCACTTCGCGGGCAAGCACTGAGCAGTTACCTGGGGCAAACAAAGTGCCTTGTGTTCTCTTGGCTTGCACCCATTCCCTGTAGCCCGTGGGAATTTCCTTCTCCCCTTCCTCAGCCAAGGGGGATTAGCCCAGCCCTGCCTGGAGAGGCTATGCCCAGCCTTGACCTGGAGACCATCTCAATGGCCACTGGCGTCGGTTTCTGGGACCATCTACAGACGTAAATGGACACGTTAGGGAATCGGCTGCAGAAAAAGTGGCTGCAGGCCACAGGGAACATGAGGGGTTGGATAGGGTGCCTGCAGAAGAGAGGAAAGAATCCCTCACCCCAGCCCCCAGAAGGCTGTGATGGGGTGGGTAAACCCCAAAATCGCTGTCTTCCGGACACCTTTTGCCCCTTGGGTGTAGTTCCACTGGTGGGCGCGTTCCTCTGCCTGGCTTCTCACCATCCTCTGTCCTCCACTCCTCCCAGCAGCGTGCAGATAGTCACCCTCCCAAGACAGGTCTTTGAGGAACAAAGAGAAAATCGGGTAGAGGGCCTGTCGGGAGTGGGGCTTGGGACAGGTTTTCCTCTCAGTGGTTTTGATGGGGGGCTCTGCTTGAGAGGACACAGCATCCTCCCCAGGACTGCAGCCCCTGGTGTAAGGGAGCCCCACGGGATTTCCTTCGAGGTCCCCATGGAGGGGAGGATGGTGTGTGTGTGCATGTGTGTGTGTGTGGTGTGTGTGTGTGTGTGTGTGTGTATGTGTGTCTATGTGTGTGTAGGTGTGTACAGGGCAGGTCAAGACAGATGAAACTACTGATCCTCGTAACTTTATGGCTTGTGCCTGTGGAGTAATAACTGATGCTTTCCAATGAGAATAAGTACGAATGCGTTACTTTTTTATTCAATGATCCTTTATGCTTTTATTCTTTAGAATTAAAATGCATTTTCAAAGTCATGTCTTATCTTTGCATACGGTAAGCTGGTTTCTCTTCATACACTTGGGCATATTCAGTTTTGGGGTATTGGCCAGCGCTCCATGGTCATGTTTTATTTAGGAGAAACCTGATACTACGAAATGACTTGACATCCCTGCCCGCCGCAAGGCTGATACCCAAGCCATAGCATCTCCTGTTATGGAAGAGGCAATAGTTCTTTTTCCGGGGAAATTATTTCTAAATTTGGCATTTCCATTCGAACTGTGAACTCCCAGGCTGATACATTGTTGTTTCGCTTCTCTGCCTGGTTTTACTGATGGAAGTTGTATGAGCCAGCACATTGGGTTTTATTTTGTTGCTGTTTCGGCATGTTGCACATTTAGTCAGCCTGGTAGAGGCCACAGAGCCCTCAGTTCCCCAGAAAGCCTTTCTTAGGGCTCCCTTTTAGTCCCGCCAGAAATGGCCAGGGAAGATTGTGGGGGTTGTGTGTGAGAGACGGAGAGATAGAAGAGAGAGAGAGAGAGTGAGAGAACACTCGCGTGTGTGCATTGATATATTACAACAATCATTTAATCCTGATTCAGCTGTTGGGCTCTCTTCTCTGTAACCCCTGAAATATTAATAAACACAGCACCTTTACGGTTTTTTGTCCATTTGCTTTAAATATTATTTTAAATACACCCGAAAACAGCAATTTAGTTCCTCCTCTAAGAAGGATGACTGGGTGGATTCTCCTGCAGAGGCAGCCTGTAGGGCCTCAAGACGCCCCAAGACGGCCCGGGTTCATTCGGCATCGCAGATTCTTCTTTCTCTCTCTGGATCAGGCTGCTCCAGAGTCAGCCATTACAAAAGCTGAGATGGGGGGAAAGCTGTGGTAAAAACACGCAGAGCCTACCCCAACAAGCTGCTGCCACTCTGAGAGGCACTGAAGTCCACATGTAATTGACGGGACTGAGGAAAATGTCCCTGTGAGGTGCAGAGCCCTCCGTGGCCAGCTGGGTCAGGCAAACTTCAAGTGTCCAGAGGAGATGTGGTGAGCATGTGGAGCAGGCAGGGATGTGCCCTGTGTATTCTGATCACCCTGACTGACCTTGCTATTTGGTCAAGATTATATTCACAGAAACTTGCAATGTGAGAACTCCCACTTTTCAGTTTTCGAAATAACCTAAACAAAGAAAAACCCAAAAGCATAGTTCACTCTCCTTGTGTAAGTAACCTGGTCCTTTCCTTGCCAGAATTCCTTTTCCTCACGTGGAAGCAAAAGCCGTAATGCTAAATTCTGGGTAAGTTGCCTCCTTTGTGAGAATCACCAGCTCTAGAACCCAATCTCAAGTTCTGGGTGCAAAGTAAATTTCCACAATCGGGGCTAAGGACAGTCCCGTCATCATCTGCTTGGAGCGTCTTTCTTTCTTGCTTTTTTTTTTTTTTTTTCTTTTTTTCTGACAGACTCTCACTGTCACCCAGGCTGGAGTGCAATGGCAAACTACAAATTCCACCTCCCGGGTTCAAGAGATTCTCCTGCCTCCGCCTCCCAAGTAGCTGGGACCACAGACATGTGCCACCATGCTTGGCTAACTTTTTTGTATTTTTAGTAGAGATGGGGTTTCACCGTGTTAGCCAGGATGATCTTGATTTTCTGACCTCGTGATCCGCCCGCCTCAGCTTCCCAAAGTGCTGGGATTATAGGCGTGAGCCACCATGCCTGGCCCTGGGAGTCTGTTCCTTAACTACACCGAGAATCTGGAAAGTGCTTGCTCCTGGGTGCAGAGTAAAGGTGGGAGGGGAATGTGTCAATAAAAACTAAGGATGGGGTCTCTGCTGGGCCCTGCGGGGACCCTGCTTGGAGGCAGGGAGTAGTCTGTGGGCCACCAGTGTCCAGAGGGCAGCCTTGAGCTGAGGGTGTTCTCCAGGTCCCCGCTTCTCCACCATTTGCGGAGCATTTGTCTATTTCAGTGTAAGCCATAGTGGCGGCTGCTGGGGAGGGAGATGCTGCCACGGTGGAGAAGGACGAAGAGCAGTGGGCTCCAAGCGCACCAACCCTCACCTTCTCCCCCGAGTGCAGTGTCGGGGTGACTTTCTTGTGCTCTTCGTTCGCCTCTAGGCTGGCTTGGTGCTGTGCCCGGGGTGGGGTGCCCCTGGAATGTGCTCATGATGTTTTCCTAGACAGTCGATAAGCTCCAGACTGCTTGATAGGTGAGGATGACGACAGTGAGGATTAGCCCCTTCAGCCCTTGGAGGAAAGCAGTGTCCTGCTCTACCTCTGCCCTGGGAAGCGGGGGTTCTTTTCCTCCACTGGACTTTCTGATTTCAGCAGAATATTGACTTGGAGGAGGCTTCTGCCCTGGCCTCAGACATCTCCGTTCGGGCAGTGGAGCTGCCTCCCAGTGACAGGCATGTCTGCCGCTGCACACCTCGTCTTCAAAGCACTTCACAGTTGCCCAGAAAAGCGCCTCCAAAGGGCCCCTTCCCATCCAGCCCTGTCCTCCCATTTGGCAGCCCCTGCCAGTGCTCTGCCCTGCCCTGCTCCGCCCCTCCCCGCCCCGCCTGCCTGCCCCAGCCTCCTGCTGCGGTGGCCCTTTTGGAGTGGGGTGTTCAGGGGCTGAGAGCAGGGGTTTGTGAGTCTGGCTGAGTTTTCTTCTCTTTTGGCTCCTGGTGACCTGGTCAGAGGGATCAGCAGGCTAGCTGGGAGCATGGAAATGGGAAGGGGGCAGGAATCGGAGGGTGGAATTGAAAGGAGAAGGGAGAGGATGGGAGGCAAACAGCAGGAAGAGATCTCTGTGGGTTCGTAAGCCAGCTTTTCCCGGCATTCACAGCGCCCACAAGTCATCATTCACATGACCTGCCCCCACCCAGCCTCAGGTCATGCTGCCTTAAATAACTGTGTCACATTTAGCAGCTCTGGGTCAAAATGTTACCAGAAACCTGCGTCTGCTCTGGCTGTAGACTGTGGGCTCAAGGCTGCTGCTTTTCAATTCTCAGGTCCCCTTCAGAAGTTCCAGAAGACCTTTACCACTTTCAGCCTGGACCCAGGGCCGATCTCTTTCCCAGGGGGCTGCTGCCTTCCTGCCCTGTAACTTACTGTTCTGTTTCTCCCCAATTCCCTTCCTAGGCACAACCGTGTGTCCTCCATGTGACAACGAGTTGAAATCCGAGGCCATCATCGAACATCTCTGCGCCAGCGAGTTTGGTAAGAAAGCGTTTCTAGCTGCCCCTGGAAGGTTTGGTAAGAAAGCGTTTCTAGCTGCCGCTGGAAGGTTTAGAACCTCCTGGTGTGTGTCCCTGTCGGACGGAGGCTCTGCTGGTGTATCTCGTTGCAGCTTCCCACATTCTCTACCTCACTCCTCTCCAAATGGCTGCTTTTCTCAGGCAAATGAGAGACTAGACAAGGTCGGGAACCAGCCAGTTTTTATGAAGGCCATACTTTGCTCTCCTTTGTGGGGGATCACTGGACAGATTTTTGGGGATCTTCTCTAGGCATGCAGGAGGCTGATTTGGGGACAGGCCAAGAGGAGCAGGGAAGGACAGTAGCTCCTTCTCGGAAGCTGCAGGAGGTACAAGTTGCCACTTGCTCCGGTGGCAGGTAGGGCCCGGCTTTTTCTGGACTGGCTCCTTTTTTTAGCATCTACCCCTAGGTGTCAGCATGACTCTGTCCACGATTTAAATGGCTGACCTCCGGGTGCCTTCCCAGGGAGGGGAGATTTCAGTGCTTAGGGGATTCAGAGAAGGATCCTCATCAGGTTCTGTGAGGCAAAGAAAACGGACATCCCCACAGTAGTGTGGTTTTTCTCTTTTCTTCCCAAGTCGCTTTCTGTCAAAAGAGAATTCTGAACCAGCACTCGCATCTCCAGGAGGAGGAGCTGGTAGGGGTCAGGGGGCAGTGGGGGAGATGCCAGGAGCCTTGGGTCCTTTCAGGGATGGTCTGTTATAGTCCGACCTGCAGAAGACCCGAATTCCCCAGAGCCTGAGAGTCTCTCTTCTGGGGAAAGTAAACGTAAACAGCATCCCTTTGGAGGCCCAGCTCCCTCTCTCTCGCCTCTACCTGACATGGATGCAGAGCAGTGGCCGGGGCCAAGCCATGCTTTTGGAAGGATCAATGTCATGCCGAACAATGTGTTTCTCATAATTCCTGCATTGTGTCCCTGAGATCAGATTTCTTGCAGAATGCTTATCTGTAAGAGCGTAAAGATAGGTGACGTGAGTCCGTTCAGAGGCATCCCAGCTCATGTTTTCATGGTAAAGTACATGGAAGGGTCTTGTTCCTGTAAAGAGCCCTGTTGAAGTAAGCTGCACACACGTGGGAGAACATACACAAGTCAGAGGGAATCGTGCATCATGACAGGGCCATTCTCAGGGTGTTGCAATTGTGGATGAAGATGGAAGCTGGATGCAGATGGCCACCAGAGCTGAACTGGAGAGCGCATATCCTCATTCCGGGCATGGGGAAGATTGACTGTGTTCTCTATGATGCAGCGGTGTGAATTACTTGTCTGTTTCTGCATTAACTCAAGTTTGTCAGTGAGGATTCCCTGAATATCAATTGCTTTCTGAGTTCTATAGATACAGATTTAGGGTAGAACTCTTCCTCTAAATAAATGTAATACATGAGCATTATTTAAAAAACAAACAAACAAACAGAAGTTGGAGGATTCAGGATTCAGACCCTTTGCCACATGGGCTGAAGAGTTAAGCCTTGGGAAAGAATTTGAATCTGGCAAGGTTGACCTTAAGGTGTAGGGCAGGGGTCTTGAGGGCACACAGGTAACTCACCTGGGATGGACCTCTTCCCATGGCAGCAGGCACCTGCCGAGTCAGCCAGCGTCCTGCACCCCGAAGAGGACGGAGGAGCTCATGTCGATAACCAATCAGGGTTTGTGGAGTCTGAGTGAGTAGCTGTTTGGGACTGGGTTCTTTTAGCCCTGACAAAGTTTTCTTCTTGGATTCACAGAACTTTTGAGTTCTTTCTGGACCTCAGAGGTCATCTTATCCAGTCCTCTAATTTGATAAAGAAGGAATTTGACTTTCCCAACCAGAGTCCTTCTGCACTCTGCCACCTGCCCTCCTCACTTAAGAGACGAACACTTTCTCACTGAAGAGATGAACACTTTCTCATTTAAGAGTCGATGCACAGCCGCTGGGCTTTGACATGGAGGCACTGACCTCCTTAGTGTGCGTATGGTGTATGGCAGGCTTCTTTGAGCTGGTTGCAGGAGAAACCTTTTTGTTTTTTTGTCTGTAATGTTCTCATAAAACAATATATAGGATTTTTTTTTTCTCTCTCTCTGCAGGGGCTGAGCTTAGCTCTGCCCTTCTTAGCACCTCAGAGAATGCAGCCTTGTCGAGAAACGTGTTTCCTAGCTCAGTTCACTTCAAGTAAGTGAGGCAGTCAGCCACGCTGATGGGATTCCGTTAGGAGACAAAGAAATTGAACAATGCAAGCTGACACACAGCAGAGAAGAAAGAGAATGCTTGACTCCCTCCTCCAGGGATCAAACTTTGCATTAAGTGGCCCTGACATCCCCAGTGGGAAGACATCAGGTTGTTGGAAGGCTCTCTGTGAGCTCCGGGAATGAGGGGTGCATTTCCCTGAGTAAGCAGTACCCTCGTTCCCCTGCTACTATATCTGTGGATCCCAGCAGCCTCAGTGGAGCTGGGCTGTCTGACCCCTGACCTTCCCAGGCAGTGCACTTTAACCCCTTGGCAGGTCTGCTCAATCACTTGTGTCTCCAGCTCTGCACTGTACCTCCTTAGTTCAGGGCACATTTTTTTTTCCCCAACAGGAAAAAAAAAAAAGAAACCATGAGCAGAAAAGCTTGTGTGCTGATGCTCAGGAATGCAGCTGATCAGCCTGCATCAAGCACCAGATGTAGGAGCCAAGACTTAGATGGGTGAAGTCACCGCATTGAACATGGTGACCAGCCTGCCTGCTGGCTTCCATCAGCTGGCAGGGCTCTGCTTTTTGTTCTCTCTCTGCTTTTCCTGCTCTGTGACAACAGGGTGCCACTCCTACCTCTTAAATAGCCCAATATAGTTTTTGCAAGCCGCCATGCTAATCATCCTGCTGTTAACAGCTCAGCACCCACAGCTGTCTGCCGTTTGGGTTGGTTTATCCCAGGGATATGAGGATCTGATTTATTTATAATTGCAGTGAGGTGAATTCCCGCCTCTGGCCACCTTCTCTGGCTTCCTCTGCAGTGTCTGTAAACACCCGTAAGCTTTCCTGGGGGAGATTTGCACGGTGATGTACTTCTGCTGGGGGAGTTCAGAGCTTCCACTTGCGCTACTTTCTGCGGTATTTTGAGCTTGAGAGTCCAGGTGACAATTTGTTTAGCTCAGTATTTTCTCCGTGTAGAAAAGAATTTCTTTGCCCCCAGAAACTTTCCTTGCCTTCTGAGAGGATTCTTTTTAACGTTTATATATTTCCTCATAAAGAGAAAAGCTGTACTCGGCAACACTAAGATTAGTCAAATAGGAAGGAAAAGAAAATCGGCTTTCACAGTTAGCCTTAGGGAGTATTTCCTAGTAGAAATACTTTCAGAGGTTCCTGCATGTCCACTAATCCGTTCTCACTCTGCCTCCAACTTCTTTCAAGGTGTTCTGGCTATGCTGCTCTTTGTGACAATGTTTTACTCTGAAGGGCAGTTTGAGGTCTTGCAGAAAGTAGGCTCATCCTTTCCAAACTAAACCTTGGGTTTCCTCCCGAAGGCGAAGTGAGCTGGCTGCTAGCACAGTCACTGGAGCACCTGCAGGCTGCCTGAGAGCAGGCTCTGTATCTGATGCCATGTTTTACTTGATGGGAGATGCCTGTTAATTGTGAGACACACTGTTCAGACAAAAAACAAAAACAACGACAACAACAACAGCAACACACTTCTTGCAGAAATGTGCAGAAAAATCTGTGTCTTGGAATGAACAAAATAAGGCCTGTTTGTACTCAAATAGTCCCCAGCACAGTGCCTTATACATGGTAGGCATAAAACGAAAGTTTGTCGGCTGAGTGTATGAATAATAGGTGATGGCAGGGATGTGGATGTTGGACTTTTTTTTTTTTTTTGAGGCTTAGTCTCACTCTACGTGGGCTGGAGTGCAGTGGAACCATCTTGGCTCATTGTAATCTCTGCCTCCCGGGTTTAAGCAATTCTCTTGCCTCAGCCTCCTGAGTAGCTGCGATTACAGGTGCCCGCCACCACACCCAGCTAATTTTTATATTTTTAGTAGAGGTGAGGGGGCTTCACCATGTTGGCCAGGTTGGTCTTGAACTCCTGACCTCATGTGATTCACCTGCCTCGGCCTCCCAAAATGCTGGGATTATAGGCTTGATGGACTTCTTTCTTTCTTTATTTTTATTTTTTATAAAGGAGAAGGCTCTTTTCAAGGCGGATATTGGCAACTTGTGTAGGAAGTTCAAGGAAAACGACATGCCCTGTTGTGGGTGACTGAGTGTACTGACGTTTAAAAGAAGCCTCAACATCCAGAAATCTCATTCAGTCAAAGTTAAATTAGACACGGAAGGAATCATTACCCTGGGACTGGAATTGCTAGGCGGAAAACAACTGGGTTTTATTGTGACTGAAGATACATATCCCATGCACAGATCTGTACAGGCTAGGAGCGAATTGTTAGGATGTTTCATGTGCATAAAAACCTAGGTTGTCCCATTGCTCAGTACACTAGAAGTGTGACTCCCAGCCGAGAGCCTGCATCTCTTTCTGAGCAGTCTTACTGTGCATGGGAGTCCGGCGGGTGTGGTGGCGGGGGCGGGGACAGTGCAGAGATGGCGGCAGAGCCAGTGTTTGTCCTTTTGCATCTGGCTTATTTTCCTACGCATCATGCCCTCATCTTTGGATGTGACTATAAACTCTCATAAGAAGGGGAGTGGGGAGAAGGATTTGCCCTCAAGTTCACGTTTATTTTCTGAAGCTTTTCTGGAGGTGGGTAGAGAAAGAGGGGACAAGGGGTGAGTGGGACGAGGGGGCTGTTCACAGCCCATGCAAACTGTCCATTTCTTTGGGTGCTCTGTTGCTCACCTGTACCACTTACATTTTTTTTTAATGGATGCCAAATAGTAGCACATATTTATGAGGTATGTTTGATATTTCGATAAAAGCATACAATGTGTAATGATCAAACCTGGGTAATTGGGGCTGGGTATGCTGGCTCACATCTGTAATCTCAATGCTTTGGGAGGGTGAGGCAGGAGGATTGCTTGAGGTTAGGAGTTCTAGACCAGCCTCAGGATCCCAGACAACATAGTAAAATCCTGTCTCCATTAAAAATTAAATATTAGCTGGGCATGGTGGTGCACACCTGTAGTCCCAGCTACTTGGGAGGCTGAGGTGGGAGGATCGCTTGAACCCAGGAATTTGAGGCTACAGTGAGCCATGATCACACCACTATACTCCAGCCTGGGTGACAGAGTAAGACTCTGTCTCAAAAAAAAAAAAAAAAAAAAAAAAAAGAAAAAAGTGAGTAATTTGGATATCTACCACCTGAAACACTGATCTTAGTGTTGGAAATATTCCAAATCTAGTCCTCTAGTTAATTTAAAATATACAACAAATCACTGTTAACTATAGTTGCCTAGCTGTGCTACTGAATACTATATCTCATTCTTTAAAAATACAGAACACTTCACAAACTCACGTGTTATCCTTGCATGGGGCCATGCAAATCTTCTCTGTATTGTTACAGTTTTAGCATGTGTGCTACTGAAGCAAGCCGCTGTAGCACTTTGCCATTGTAAAGCTGTGTTGTGTATGACCTCAAAGATCAGTCAGTTCATACCCTCACCTTACTGACTGAAGGAAATAAGACAAAAAAAAAAAAAAAAAAAAAAAGGGAGTTAGGCATTTGATGACCCAAGAGCAGTCTACCTAGATCCCTGGTACTTCCCACCAGCACTTCCCTGGCACCCAGGCCAGACCACACACCTTGCTCCTTCTCATCCTCTCACACCCATCACGCAGGACAGTGGTTGAGGAGCTTCCTGGGCGGGGCATCAGGTGCCCCTTTACCCTTAGAATTTAAATGGACTGATGTCAGTGCCCAGCACACAGAAGGAGCTCAGCAATCAGTGGCTCTCTTCTTGGTGGGAAAGCAGACAGAGTAGCAGAATGCAAAGAACATAGGCTTTGGGTCAGACAGATGTGGATTAAATCCCTACCCTATAAGCTAAGCGACCACCAGAAAGTTCTTAACCTCCCTGAGCCTGGCTCCTCATCAGCAAATTATGGATGAGAATTCCTACATGACTGTGTTGGGAGAATTGGATTTAATCGAGTGTGGACAGTTCCTGGAATACGGTGGCTGTTCAATCTGTAATAATTATTGTCTCTTCTTATTGGAAAGAATTGTTTTAGGGTGAAATTTAGCTAAGGAAGGAAAATTCTAGCGTGAATGAAATAGTTTCTTGGGGGAAAAGTTTTTAGGAAAAAGAATGGAGTATACTAATTAATTCTCTGGTTAAAGAATGTCTTTTTAAAGAAGAAATCTTTTTAAAAAACCCATTTGGAAGATCTTTAAAAGCTTTAACCTTCTGCGCGCGGTAGCTCATGCCTGTAAACCCAGCACTTTGGGAGGCCGAGGTGGGTGGACTCCTCACCTGAGGTCAGGAGTTCGAGACCAGCTTAGCCAACATAGCGAAATGCCATCTCTACAAAAATTAGCCAGGCATGATGGGGGTGCCTGTAACCCCAGCTACTTCAGAGGCTGAGGCAGGAGAATCACTTGAACCCAGAGGCGGAGGTGGCAGTGAGCTGAGATTGCACTGCTGCACTGCAGTCTGGGCGACAGAGCAAGACTTTGTCCCCCGTGCCCCAAAAAAAGCTTGATGCAGCTTCAAGGGGCTGTAGTTAACAATAACAATAACAAACAACTTCCCCCTCAGAAAGCCAAGCCCTAAGTAGAAGTTAGGAGGACCTGGGTTCATCCTACGTCAATGTAAAACTGGAAGCTTCCAGACAGTGATGAGGGCTGAATGTGGGAGCTGAGGCTGACTGGTGCTCCAGGATAGGACCACTGAAGTTTTCATGTGTGTGTTTTTTAGAAACCCTCTACCTAACGTGTTCTCTTTCTAATTTAGCAGGGCTGATGGACCAGGGACTTCAGAGCCCCTTGATGCTGTTTTACTTCCCTCTGTCCCCTTTTTTCTCCAGGGATATCTCTAGGCCACTTTTCCCTTCCCTCACCCGAACGCCTGCCTTATGATAGTCACTTCCTTTAACCAAAAAAATAGGCTATGCATTATAATGCAAACGAGCGTTTAAATATTGGTTAAGTTTCACTCAGTTTTGTAGAAATAGGCTAGAAGCCCCCATTTTTTTTTTTTTTTAAAGAAGAACAAATGGCCAAAGAAATGTCAGACCCTTGCCCTGCCCCGACCTTGGAGCAGCCAATTAAACGTGCGTTTGCTTTGGAAGCCTTCTCAAAGGCCTATAGATTGTGCTTGAAATCGTTGTTTAGTCTTTCAGGAACACTGTCACATGGATGATTTATCAAAGAAAGTTGTTTATCTGGCAGTAAAATAAACTGTGGGCCTGTACAGACTAAGATTTCCCGTGAATTTTGACCAAGGTAAACACTACTAACTGGCAAACTCCGTGTGAAAGCCAGACACATACAATAAATATTTGAACTACAGCTTTGCTGTGTATGGAGTCTGGCGTGCCACTAGCGCTTGTCACTTTCACTGTGTCCCGAGCCCCTGGCACCGCAGCCTGTCTGCCTGGGCGACCGGGAAGAGGGACTTGCCCCACTGTCAGTGTCTGCGGGACCGCCCCGTGGCGTGAGCCTCCCTGGGTTTGAGTGCCACTCAGTGCTGGCACCTTGGGACTTCCTAATTCAGAGGGGGCAGGCTCAGGACGGCTCCCCACTGCATCCCACAAATAGTTGGTGATGAGTTACCAGGAAAGTGAACCAGAAGCAGCCAGCTTAGGTTTCTTTAAAAATAGACATTTGTTGAACCACATTGGCAGGGGGCTGGAAATCTTGACTGAAGCGGGAGCTGGGGCCAGAACATGATGGTAGCGGGTGAAGTTACCTTCTGGATTCTGCTGAGTGTTGATGACAGTGGCAAAAAAAAAAAAAAAAAAAAAAAAGTGCTGCAGATACTCCCCCAGTGTCTCTGGCTTTGCTCGTGGGTGGCTGTGAGGGACCCATTTGGGAATTACGAGGCGGCAGGTCGAGTTTGTGAGTGCCACAGCACATGTTTAAGTGAGGGGGTGAATGGACACATGAATGGTGATGGAATAAAGCCTTCCAGGTCTTTCCAGGGAACACACTGTAGGGAATTTTTTTTTTTTTTTTTTTTGAGACAGCCTCTTGCTCTTGGCACCCAGGCTGGAGTGCAGTGGTGTGATCTCAGCTCATTGCAACTTCTGCACCCTGGGTTCAGGCGATTCTCCTGCCTCAGCCTCCTGAGTAGCTGGGATTACAGGTTCATACTACCAGACTCGGCTATTTTTTTTTTTTTTTTGTATTTTTAGTAGAAATGGGGTTTCACCGTGTTGCCCAGGCTGGTCTCAAACTCCTTAGCTTAAGTGATCCACCCACCTCAGCTTCCCAAAGTGCTGGGATTCTAGGAGTGAGCCACTGTACCGGCCTGTAGTGACTGTTGATCGTGGTTTTTCAGGGAGACTGCTGGATTAGAAACTGCTTGTTCTGACAGTCCCAGCCAGCCCCAGATGCTGGAGTTTCCATGTCACATGGGCCTTGGGGTTCTCCCTGCAGGGCTGAGTTCAATGATGTTGTGGGAGCTCCCATAACTTACGCTGCACCCTGGGTCCTTCTCATCCCAGCTCCTCAAAGGGGCGGAAGCGGGAACTGGGGACTCTTGAGAAAAGGTGATATTTATGTCTGTTTGAGCTTTTGGGGTTGAGATCTCTGTGCACGTGCAGAGCTTCCATTTGCGTGTTTGAGTCTTGAATGTAAAAGGTGTTGCTCTTTTAGGTTTGGGGGGCTGTGAGCATGAGAGACGAGGCTATTTGACAGCTCTTAGGGATTGATGTGCAGGTAGTAGATGCTTCCTGGCTTGCAGATACTTGGAGGAATAAAGGAGGCATTTTCTGTAGGGCAGGAATTAAGGGAAATCATTTACAAATTCTGAAAGGATGTCTGTGAGTTGTAAAGAGATGCCAAAATAGTACTTTGGCAGTGGGTGAAAAAAAAAAAACAAAAAAAAAAAAATGAGAAACCAGCTTCCCTAAACGATGTTCTTTCTCATTCAGGCAGGATTATGAGGGGGATTTTCTCTCTCTTGTTTTCTCTAGCCCTTCCATCAGCTTTCTCTGCAGGACATTTCCTTTTGGGACTACCTCAGATGTGTTCCCTTCTCTTTGTGAGCTCTTTGAAAATTATTTCACACCAGTGTCTTCCGCAGCGGATGCATTTAGCTTTGTGGAATGGCTTATGGCCGAAGGAAATCCCCTACTCTGCATCGGTGGCACCAGAGCTAGAAACGAGCCTGGATAAGCACTTCAAACCCGAGAATAGCTGGTGCCTGGAGAGTGCCTCCCCTCCCGCAGGACTCCACAGGGCGGCCGTGCCAGCCCGCCGTGCTCGCCTCGCAGGCTGGTCGACAGCCCACGCACCTTCCACTTTTTCTTTGGTCTCGGCTCCATACAGAGGACCCAGTTCCTGCCCCTGGTGGCCAAGTGTGATGGCTCACACCTGTAATCCCAGTGCTTCGGGAGGGTGAAGAGGGAAGACTGCTTAAGCCCAGGAGTTCAAGACCCTGTCTCTACGAAAAGTAAAAAAAATTAGCCAGAGGTGGTGGCACATACCTGTGGTCCCAGCTTTGTTTGAGCGGGAGGTCGAGGCTGCAGTGAGCCGTGTTTGAGCCACTGCACTCCAACCTGGGTTTGAGACAGGGCAAGACCTTGTCTCAAAACAAAAACAAAAACAACCCCCCCCCCCCAACAAACTCCGCAAGAATCTGGTGGGTGAGAGGCCTTTGCCATGCTTTTTTGTCTCCGTTCTTTGGTAGCTTCAGATGCCTTTGTGCATAGTTCCAGTGTTCAGGTCTGAAGGAGGGAGGGGTCCTCTATGGGGGCTGGAGAAATTCAGGGAGGTTTCCTGGAGGAGATGACGGTCTAACTGTCAGGCTGAAGATTAATGGAGAAAATAGAGGAGGGCATTCCTGGGGTCCAGAGATGAGGATGGGGAAAGGTAGTTAACACTCAAAACAAGTAGTCATTCTTCAATTGACGAAACCTAAGCCAGGTAAATACATACAGAGGAGAATGTTGGTTTATCACCTGTCAGTTCTAACAACTTGCTTTGCTTTCTGTGTTCTGGTTAGCTCGAGCCCACAGGGTGGCGACTAAAAGGCTGGATGAGGAATGGTAGGGGGAGTTGCTCCTTTCGATTCGCAGCTGCCTGTGTACCCAGCTCGAAGGGTGATGAGGTCCCAGCGGTTGGAATGAATTTTAGGGGCCCTTCGTGTGGTTGTGGCCATGGGCCCAAGTCAGAGATGACACCCAGGAGTGCATAGCTGTGTGGGGAAGGAGTTCAGTGAGGTAGGTACTTGTTGTCAGCCCTGGGCAAGGTGCTCAGAAGTGCACAGGCAAGACTTGAGTCCTGGGTGCAGCCTCTCACCGCCGCATAACCCATAGCCGCTGCTTCCGCCCACAGGATGCAGGGTTGGCTGGAAAGAGTCCCGACCTTTGTTGTGAGATACAGACGATGTCTGCACAGTGCCAAATGCCAGCCAGCACGCAGC